ACCTTTCTCAAGCCCAAGCAAAGTCAATTACACATGCCTTTCTCCTCTGGACATTTTGCCAAGCCTTTCTCAAGCCCAAGCAAAGTCAATTACACGTGCCTTTCTTTTCTGGACATCTTGCCAAGCCTTTCTCAAGCCCAAGCAAAGTCAATTATGCAATTTCTCTCGAACTCATCGTAACCTTATCCTTTTGACCGCAATTCCTTTTATTCACGTTTTTTTTATCCGTAGATGGCACGCCTTCCCCCCACTCAAAATGCGATGTCCCCATCGCACGACTGGTTCTCACTCGGGGGTATGGAACCTTGGCCCACCAACTGAGTCAAGAACAACGACCCACCTGCTCCTAGAAGGAAGGGTGATCGGTCCTTCCTCGATAGGTAACACCTCATCCTTCTACTTAGTCCGACCTTTTGCCAGTACGAGACGGGCGTCATCACTGAGGTACCACCTCACATCCGGCAAGTAGGTCCAGTCCAAAACCTCCGAGGACCCCGTCTTGCCATAAAGACATCTCTCGCGAACCGTTCCTCCCGAGTGGTAATTTCTTGGATTCGGTCTCTTTCTTTCAAGAGAGTTGGGGCTCTCCATTGGTCTGCGAGTGCAGTTACGAAGACCTCGCGGTTAGTCCCGGAACCGTTGTAATGATCCGGCAGGGGGGTGTCACTCGCCCTGTGGTGGGTGCGGACTCCACTCGGTACCCCGCCCGACCCCTCCCTTTGGACAGTGCCGCTCAACTTAACGCGAGCAGCCTTGGTCCATCCCAAGCGGCCACGCCGCCCCTCTACGGTATGGCGTGTGGTTGGGGAGAGGAAATGAGACTAGCAAAAGAATGGTACCACACCCATTTGGCTTCACACCCTTGAAGTTTAGGTTCCCAACATGAGGCGCAATTTGAACTTTCCGACTAGAGCTCTTTGTCGGAGTTAGTTCCGGACGGCGAGCATCAGTCAAAGAGAAAGATGCCTTGGTCCTTCAACCCTTATCCTTCCTTAGGAGGAACAGGTCGCGCTGAGACATTCCCTTTTGGAAGGGCAGAGGTCTTGGGGTCGCGGTGCATGCACTGGTATCCCCCTCCTGTTGAGGCCTGAGACTAGACGAAAAAACAAAATCATTCCAATGCTATTTGCATGTCTTTCCCAATCCGCCTAGGGCCCCCTGATATGCAATGCAATCTCCAATCCTCAAACAACTCTTCAATGCAAATTCCAGATTTTTCATGCTCAATCCATCTCATTCAGCTATGCAAAGAGACACTAGTAACAATTCTCAAAATGACCCTTATCAGGGGCCATTTTTTCCATTTCCAGTCGAACAACCTTATCAGGGTCATTCTTTTCCATCTCAATCGAACGACCTTGTCAAGGTTGTTCTTATCCATTCCAATCGAACGGCCTTGTTAGGACCGTCCTTATCCATTCCAATATCAGCACCCGAGGGGGTGGGCCTCGAGAACACGGATCCCGTCTTTGTCTCGGGGGTTCGAAGGTGACCATCTTTTACAGTTTTTTTTTGCGTGCAGTCTCCTTCATCCTTTCTCAATACAATTTACTATTCATGCATACATCCGACTTAGCGTCTAGTGCTCGAGTTGAGGCTTGCAATCCCAAGCAGCACTAGTCCACCCGGTCGTCCAACCATAGCGAAGGACAGGGGCACCCCCTCTATTTTCACTCTTCCTGACCTCTCAACTTTTTGCTATTTTCAGGCTCATTCAAGACTTAGTTGGATTAGGCTCCTAGGGAAGGGGTGTTCTTCACGCCTCTTTACCCATAAGTTCCCTAACCTGTCTCGTACTCGACTCACACTCAATGCCTTGCTTTGTTTGTTAATCCGAGCTCATGGTCTTTTCTCAAAGGTGCAACCTTTGTTCCTTCCAAAAGCTCACAATACACCCATCCCAACCAGTCTCATCCCCATATCCCGTGTCATTGTTTTGTACATACTCTTTCGAAGGTAGCTCATCCAGGAAGTAGCTTCAAAATGCTATCTTCTAACTCATCGTGACTTATTTCTAGCTAGTCCTTATATCGCTCATTCCTAGTAAGCTCACTCATACTATCCAACTTTTGTCACTCAATACTGCAAAAGAAAAACACAATTTTTGTTCAATGCTCATAACATCGTCCCTTTTGCTGTCATGTGTCCCGTCTTGCTTGGTCCCTTGCTCATCCTGTCCTTTTGCTGACGTTTTGACTCCCAGGCCGGAGGCCAGGATTTCCCTCTTTCTCTTCGCAATTTCCCGCAACTCCATTTTATTGTAAAAATCCAACGGCGTGGCTGTCACTCCCGCCTCCATGAACTCTCTGGCCTTGATAATCCAGTCATGCTTGATTACACTAATCCATTGCTCAAACCAATGGTTGGGCGTTGGCCCAAACTCATCTTCCCATCTGAATGATCCTTATCGTGGCCGGTTCGTGGGGGGCCGCCTTTCCTCTCTGGGTCTTGAGATTTCATCCCTCTCATCGCCACTACTAATCTCGATGACCTCTTGTACTTCTTCCTCCTCGTCCTCACCCTCTCCCGTTCGTACGGGGCTGAACTCACCCATGGAGTTCTTCGGATCTAGGTTATAAGGGACGTCCGCCCTCCTTTCATATCCTTCCCCAAAGTCCATGTACCTCCCCTCACGACTGTCGTGGCCGCCCCGCTCTTCATGCAGACTCTCCCTTCCTTCTTCCCCTTCTTCGCACCCGTCGTTCCTGTCCTGTTTTTCTTCGCTCCCCTCACACCAAGGCTCACGTTGTTTGCACTCCTCGACCTTCTTTTCGGCAGAGGCCTGAGCCCTCTCTCCTCCCGATCTGCCCGCTTCTCCCATACTCGTTCTCTCTTTCTCGCTCTCACTCCCTAACGAGACATATATCCCTTCTCCCTTTCTGGGAGGCGAGGGCCCTCTACACACCTGTTTTCTCGCCCCCCTGCCCACTACTTGTTTGGACAGGTACCCTATATACAATTTTCTCTTTGCGGTCTTCCGCTCCCTGCTCGGTCCGGCTCCTCCCCCTTCGCTGGGCCTGTTGATCGCGTCATTTTCGTTGCCGAATTTCATTTTCGTTTTTGGGGAGGCTATAGTACTTCTTCCCTGATCCTGTACAACACAACAACACCCACCGAGCCCCTCACACTCTTCAGTCCACTCCCAAGGGGCGTCAAGTCGAGTTAGATCTGTTAATGGGGAAGCTATAGTACTATAGTTTTTCACAAACGGACGATAGTAGCCCGTCATCCCCAAAAACGATCTAACCTCAGTAACAGTTTGAGGTCTAGGCCAGTCATGTATGCTGGCCACCTTTGCATCTTCCGGCCTCAATCCATCTGCTGAAATTTCATGACCCAAGTACAAGATCTTGGTGCGACCAAACTCGCATTTATCCAAGTTTACCTTGTACTGGTGCTGTCTTAGGAGACCTAGCACTGTTTTCAAGTGCTCAGCGTTCTCCTCTAAATTCTTACTAAAGATAAGAATATCGTCGAGGTACACGACGATAAACTTGTCCAAGTACTCATGAAATATCCGGTTCATCGCGTGCTGAAATGTACCAGGCGCATTGCATAGGCCAAAAGGCATCACCACAAACTCGTACAGACCGTACTTGGTCTGGAATGCGGTTTTGTGCTGGTCCTCAGGTCTAACGACAATTTGATGGTATCCGGACTTCAGATTTATCGAAGTACCGGCATCCCTGCACCCTATCCAAGAGGTCGTCGATGCGGGGTAGGGGCTCCGCGTTCTTAACGGTGATGGCATTGAGGCCCCTATAGTCAACGCACATCCTTAATGGACCTCCCTTCTTTGGAACAAATAAGACTGGCGCACCGTAAGGGGAGGTACTAGACCGTATCCATCCCTTTTTTGTGAGCTCCTTGAGCTGGCGGCGAAGCTCATCTAACTCCGTGGGGGACATCCTATAGATTCGTCCTCTAGGCAACTTGCTACCTGGGACAATCTCTATCGCATGTACAACCTCCCTTTCCACCACGCATGTGGGCTCTTCAAAAAGGTCTGAATATTGTGCGACGACTCTTTCTATCTCTGGGGGTGTTTTAACGACCTCCCCTTTCTCAAAGACAAAGACTAGATACATGCCCTCCTCTCGATTCTGCTTATAGTAGTTATAAAAGGATGAAGCGCACATAGACCTGTAGTTTTTTATTAGACTGCTAGCTTTATACTTCTGCAATCTAACAGTTCTACCATTGGGCAATTTGTGGATCAACACCTTTCTATCCCAGTCAAACTGAGGTTGCGAGACTTCGAGGTAGTACATGCCACCAGGAAGGAGATCTTGTGGATCACTTCCGCTCCTCCATAGGAGAAGGTGCAGGCTATGTCCTTGACATAGTCTTTGACAACCATTTGGTGCTTGTTGGCTAGCGTAGAAGCTACAGTTCTGCTAAGCCGCTGCACTTGGTCCCCTAAGCGCAGTCTATCCACACAAGCACGACTGATGAAATTTCGTGTAGAGCCTATGTCTGCGAAGGCGCAAACCTTGCGGCCACCTACATCTACGTCTACCACGAAATGTTCACCCCTTGGACCTCTACTGATCATCGCCCAAGAGTCCCTGGGGTCCTTCCCTGACCACTCAGTCTCTAACTCTTCTAAGGCCTCAGACACATCTCTCGAACAGAGCGTCGGTCGGTCTGAATGTGTCTGCGGGGCGATGCGTGGGTCTCTAGCCTTGGCCATCGCCTAAAGTGGGGAAGGCAACGTTACCACTTCAGCGCGAGCTAGAGCGGCTAACACTCCTACTGGACCGAGGAGTTTCCCTGAGAGCTGCTCACAGAAGCACTGCCAGGGTTCAAAGATAAGCCCACCATTGTTGGTGACGCTACCTTCGTGGTGACCTTTTTGCCTCGGCATGTACGCGACGTGTGGCCATAATTGCCACAGTTCATGCAAGTGCCCCTGGCAACTCGGTCCCTTCACACCTCGTAATCCAAACCAATCTTCACCCATGCGGGTGTCCCTTGGTCTCCCTGACCCGTGGACCGTACTACCTTCTTCTTCCCGGTCCCCCTAGCCTTTTCCTTGATAGGTGCCACAAATCCCCCATCCGAAGTCTCGCTGGCCCCATCCTGCTCTGTCAACTCCCCAAGATCTGGGAAATCGTCAATCTCAGTCTTTTGACCATCGTGGTCAACGAACATTAACTGACCCTTCTTCTTCCAATCTTGGGGCAGTCTCTTCCTACCATCATAAGATGCCTTATGCGCAGATCCCAACTTTGCCTCGATGTCCAGAGCTTTCTTACTAAAAGAAGCGAAGGTGTGCTGTTCGACATAGGCCTCATCAACCAGCTTGTTCCTTACCTCTGCAGGTAGGCACCTTAGGTAATCCGTCAGGAGAACCTGCTGGCCAAAGCGTACACCAGGTACCACGAGTAGACGCTCTACGGTATCCGTGAGCTCTCTAACATCGTTGAACCTACGGGCACAAAGATTGTTGATAGCATCGGTGGCCTTTTGAGCCCCTTGCGGGTCATGCCACCTGTTATACACGGACCGTACGAACTCTTCCAATGTATGGGCCTGTGCCCAGGCATCGAAGTTTTGACCGTAGCCCTGTTGCTGAACTAAGCCATTCAACCAGTGGGCTGCTGACCCCTCTAAAAAGGAGGCAGCCACTACAACTTCCTGCTCTGGCCTTGTGAGCTTGTGCCTCACATAAGTGGGCACTGTCCTCACCCAGGTGTCCAAGTCCTCTTCCTTCTTCTTATCTCCAGAGAAGGGCTTGGGACTCATTAGAGGTATCTTAGGCATCCACTGCATAGGCTGCATGGGCCCAGGGGCTTGCTGCAGTGGCTGCATAGCCACTGAAACAGGTTGTTGGACACTAACCTGGGCCTGGCTTGACAGTGGGACTGTAGTTACCACTGTTGTAGATGGTACGGTTGAGACTCTATGAACCGGACCACTAGTTGCTACTAAACCACCTGGAGGGGGTATGCCAAACATAGGAGAGAAAGTTGACCCTGTGTGTTGCGGCGTCGATGAAGGACCCGCACCCGCAGCGGGAACTACAACAAACTGCGGCTGCCTCACTGTTGTGCGAGGAACCCGAAGTTCAGCCAGGATTTGTTTCTGGCCTGCCACTAATTCGGCCAGCAATTCCTGCTGGACGTTCTGCGCTTCAGCCACTGAAAGTAAGGCACTATGCAGCACACGAACAACAGGATCTAATGCCGCCTCATCTAGTACTTCCAGCCTGCCTAGCTCCTGCATTCTACTCCCTAGTCTAGCCTTTCTAAGTATGGCTTTTCTTCTCCTCTCTGCTGCTTCAGCCAGCTGCCGCTGTAGCTCATCTTGAAGTTCTTCTGCTTGACGGATTTCTAAATCCTCCGCCGTGAGTTGCAAGCTAGCAGTCTGGCTAATGGACCCCTGAGCACCACTCTGAATGACTCCTGACGAAGTGGACTGTGAAGAGGTTTGCGACATGGTAGATGAAGTAGCCATGGCTGCACCTGTGCTAGCTGTAATTCTAGTCCTGACACTATCCTCAGCTTCCCTCACTCTCCTTGCCGCTGCTCTCTCTCTAGCCTCTCTCCGCAATCTTCTCTCGTCTCCTGGACCTAACTCCAAGAATGTCAAGGGTCGACTACGGGCAATCCTGCGAGTAGTCATATGCTCGTCCACTAACAACTCCTCCTCACTAGTGCTTGCATCACTCATGAGCTACAGTGTGTGTGATCTAAACTACAATCCACACTGAATCCTACCTTAGCCTGACACACAACCGATTATGAATCACAACTAATTTCGGTCGGATGGAACAGAAACAGTTAGGTGATATAGTGACAACTAATGTCAGGTCCTACAGGATATATTAAATTTATTTTTAGATTACCCTAGAACAGATTGCTATACAACAAAGATCTAATCTGTCTGTAGTTGTCTGTCAGTTGTTAGTCAAGTACGTAATAGCTAGATAATCAAAAATAAAAATAACATCTCCTGTTGGAGATGTATGCTTGAGGGCAGATTGTCTGTTGATTGCCACTGCGAACAGTTACCGGAATCCCCCCCCCCCCCCTGGATCCTTCTTGAGTGGTCACTTTGTGTCGAAGCCCTGAGCATCTGGTTGAGCAGCGTGTCTGAAGGTGTGTAATCCGGCCCACCCCTGTGCCCCAAGTCAACGCCGAACATGCCAGCCCCTGCAGTTTTATTTACCCTCGCATGCAACGAGCCTTACACCCGGTTGATCTGGCTGATCAGGAGGGATTTAAGGAGATCCCCCATCTCCTCAGGAATTATTTAAGGTCGCAGACAGGACAACGATCACAGCCAGATTCAAATCTGAGTCCCCAGCCAGAAATGTTTAAAGACGGTCTGGAAAGCGTCTGTCCAAAAGGGTTGGCATGCCCTGCATGACCTCTATTGCGCAAGCAACAGAACCAAGGACTTGCGGCAAAGCATGCATGGACTAGTCCCAGCGGGTTGGCATGGTGACCGTGACCCGAGTGCTTCGTCCAGGGCCCTTCAGAGGCTTCGCCCGTCTCCCACCAGCTTGCTGCCCAGGAAGAATGTCGACTCTCAAGGTTGAGCGCTCGCGACACCTCACATCGAGAGGACTCTCAAGACATAACTCACTTCCTCGCGATAAGAAGTAACGAAGAGGGTAGATAAGGAAGAGAGCAACGTACCTCATAAATGCTGCCCCCAACCACAGATTTCTCACCGGCAACCTGATGTGCACTTATGATGACCGGTCTTTGCCTCGGCACAACCAACAGCAGAATGCGGTTCCACCTCGGCTTAATATGCCACATCAGCAAGCTCTCATCATCCATCATACACCCCGTATGTCACCACATAGCTCCCCGGCGCGCCCACACAACCCTGGGCGGCCTAATGTTCGACGCCAATGCCTTATCACTGCCCCACACCTCATGCGAAGCACCAATAGCTATTGCGAAGAACCAATGAGCGCAATATGAACCAGCTCCGATACCAAATTGCAAGGAAAATAAGCAACAGCGAGATGACGATTCCAATTCACACCCTCACATTGAAAGCCAGATAGTCACACTGTGTCCAAAGAGAAGCATTGCACCAATAATACACCAATGGAGGTTCGTAGCACTGAAAACCGATGTTCATGGAGAGCATACTCTCTCCTCTCAACACAAGAGTCCAGTTCCTTCACACTCACACTTGGCGCTCAGCGCCCAGCCTACTCCTACACAGCTACTACAGCCTACGAAATGACAATGCAACTGTTGACATCAGCGGCAGCCCGAAGTACTTGAAGATGTCGCCCATGCAAACCATCGCCAATACAAGGTAAGTGCTCTCACATCATCATCATCATCATCCTTCGCCTATCCCCTGACTACACCCACGTCTGTCCTTTGTTTCACCCGAAGACCACCCCTGCGCCTCACTGTAGTCCAAGCCCACCAACTAGGCTATGGCGCTGCCCTCAGCAGTGCCCTTCTTCCATGCACGACCGCACGTGCTGCACCTCGCCTCTCAGCGCCAGACAGCAGCCGCGAGCCTTTGCTCCAGCAGCGCTGCCGCTAGCATGCAAGTGCCTGAATGAGGCTGCCTGGCCAGAGCTCTTTCCTTTATGGAAAGAACTGGCCTGCTCGCGCAGCCTGGCTGGGCTGGCCTGGGCCCAGAAGCTTCCGGAAGGCCCCAGGAGGCTGCCTGGATGCAGCAGCTACTGGGCTGCTGGGCCTAGTTCGGTTGGGCGCCCAACTGTCTCTATATGAGGCTGCGAATCATGCCCAGGGCCTGCATTCTTTGGAAAGGCCCGGAAGGCCGTGGAAATGTCTTTGTTGCTCGGCCTGTGTTTCTTTCAACCAACTGGCGCGTCGCAACTGCCTGGACCCCAAATATGAAATTGATAGTCGAGGGCCTCCTGCAAAAAGCCAGGCCCGCCTTCACTTAGGGCGAGCACCTCCGCCTTCACTTAGGGCGGGTAATGCTGCAAACAGGGCCCCATAGGCCTACCGAGGACCCTGATCCTCGCAAATATCAATTAGAAATTCTAAACTTCAAAGTTCTGTTTCTTTCTGATGTCCGTACTCTTTTCTGAAGTGACTTGGTATTGGTCTGTTTAGAACTGGTTTCAAGTGCTGTGTGAGCCTTTGTGAACGTCTGTGACAGTATGAAGCAGTCGAGTTGTAAACAGTGCAAGGAAGATGAGTAATAGCGAACTCCAACAATCAAACAACATCATACATATGAGTCCATATAGTCTTGACCTCGAACCGCAGCAGAATTGCATCACGAGATACACCAAATAAGAACACACCAAGAGTTCATAATTGACAATGCTGAAGAAGTCCCAACATAATCACCGAAGAACCAGAGTTGATATCCTATTGGCGCTCGACGCCCAGACTACATGTGGCAGATCCTATCTAGCTTGTACTACGAAGCAGAAAGATGACATCAACAGCGTTCCCGAAGTACGAGCATATGGCGATCAAGGTCGCACGCTTCAGCACCAGGTATGTCTTGCGCTACACTCACAACCCCGTTCCCCAACTCACAGATGCCACTAGCACCCAAGGACCACCCTGCGCTTCACCCAGCATACAGCAGCGCAGCTCGGCTATGGCTGCGTGCTCCTTCCTTGCTCGCCCGTGAGAGCGTAGGCGCCAGCCAGCGAATAGCGCAGCAGCAGCGCTTGCGCAGCATGCAGCCAGCACTCGAATGCCAAATGAGGAGGCAGGCCCTTCCCTATATCGAAGTGGCCTGCCTGCGTCCAGACCAGGAAGCTTCCAGTAGGCCCCGGAAGCCTGAGGCCCAGTCATGAGGAAAGCAGGCCTTGGGCCTGAAGTGGTTGCATGTGCCCAACTGCTTTCGGCCTATGTTCAGCCCGGTACCCGTATCCAGCCCAGGGCCTGTTTCACGTACATTCACACAGGCGGCCCAGGGCCTGGGTTCACTCAACCAACTGGCGCTGCGCAACTGCCTGAATTTCCCTGAGTTGCGTAATGGCCAAAAAAGGGCCCTGAGGGCCTTGTCGAGCCTGCCTTCACTTAGGGCGGCCGACGGGCTGCAAAAATGGGGGCCTTATGGGGCTCTTAGAGGCAGTGGCCTCACATTCCCTCCTCCTTAGCTTCAACAGTCCTCTGAGAAGCTCAATCTTCGATCATAGGGCGCTTTCCCTTCTGCAGAGATCTCTCATATTGAGTTACAACTTGAGGAGCGGTCTGCATGAGCTCTTCTCTGGTGAACCAGCGGTCCTCCTTTGGATCAGTGTGATGTCGGAATCGAACGCGGTACTGCAGCTTCGGTTTTGGAGGACGTCCCACTCTCTGTGATCCACAATATCATCGATGTCCACTTCTCCGTCCATGGTTGGGGGCAGCACTGAGCGACGAGATGGAAACTGGTCTGTCTCTTTGAAAGGTGCCAGCTTGGAGGCGTGAAAGACAGGGTAAGTACGAAGGTGACCAGGAATCCGGATAACATATGATGGACCATCCGGTTCTGCCCCGACGATGTCCAAGACTTCCCAAGGTCCAAAGTACTGAGGCATGAGTTTGCGGGATATCCCGTACTCCTGTCCCAATTCTGAAGACTTAACCCAGACTCTATCCCCAACCTGAAATGTAGAAGGCCGGCGGTGTCTGTTTTCGGATTCTATCATCGCGGCCTGTGCCTTCTGCATCTGTTCTACCGCCTGCTGCATCTTCTGTTCATAACGGTAAGCAAACTCTAATGTACCGGGTGCAGCAGTTGACTGATTCGCAGGAAGAAGGAAATCCAACGGTAGTCTAGGCTTGAAAGTCAGTAGCAGACTGTTCGGGCTCACCCCAGTGGCGCTGTGTACCGCATTGTTATACAGACTGGCGATGAGAGCAAGCTTCTCATCCCAGTCCACTTGGTTGGGCTTGATATAATGCCTCAACAGATGTTGCACAGCGCGGTTCAGTTGCTCAGCCTGACCGTTGGCCTCTGGGTGATTCCTAGAAGTCATTTGCAACTGAGTGCCCTGCTCTGCACCAGCGGCCTTCCACAATTCGCAGCTAAACCTAACATCTCTGTCACTAATAATGGACTTTGGTAGACCAAAGTCCCTGACCCAGTTCTCCTTAAACATTCTAATCACGTACTCGGTCTTTGCTGTTTCAGGCATGGCTACTAACCTACCATACTTGCTAAATTTATCCACGATGACGAAAATGTGACGCATTCCACTCTTGCTGGTGATCAGAGTATCCATGAAATCCATGGATAAGCTCTCACCAGGCCGTTCCGGAATCGGAAGGGGCTTCAGAAGCCAAAGAGGAGCCTGAGTACGTGGTTTGTCCCGTTGACAAACTTGACAAGTCTCCACGTACAGCTGTGCATCTCGCATCATCGTGGGCCACCAGAACCGCTGTAGCAAGTTGGCTGCGGTCTTCTTATACCCAAAATGGCCGGTAGCATCATGACACTCGCCTAAAAATAAACTACGCAAAGACTCGCTATTTGGAACACACAAGCGTTTATTCCCTGCCTTCTCTAGGAACAGCAAGATTGACCAACTCAAACTCGACGGAAGTCCTCTTATCCTCCGCCTCAAGTCTGCGTATAATCGCAGACATAAACAGGTCCTCGCGATAGGCTTCCACCAGAGACCGAGTAACATTGTCCGTGAGATCGAACTCAGTAATCAGCGCACCTGAGAAGTCCGGTCTGCGCGACAAGGCATTAGCAACCTTGTTGTACTCCCCTTTGAGATACTGAGGGTCAAAGTCATATTGCTCAATGACTTCGATCCAACGCTTGAGAGCGTCAGAGAGTACCGATTGGGTTCTCATCCATCTCAAGGTCTGATGATCAGTCCTGAGGATGAAGAACCGCCCAAGGAGATAGTGTCTCCAATGGGTGAGAGCCTTGTACACCGCATAGAGTTCCTTCTCATAAGTGGACTTAGCCAACTTCTTAGACGGCATTTTCTTGGACATGTACTCTACTGGCCTCAACTTTGGCCCCTCCTATTGCGCGAGCACGGCGCCAATACCATATTGGCTGGCATCCGTGGTGACTATGAACGGCTTATCAGGATCACGAAGTTTCAAGACCTCATAGTGCGTCAATGCATGCTTCAGATGTCTGAAGGCAGCTTCGCACTCATCTGTCCACTCCCACGGGGTGTCAAGGCGGGTTAGATCAGTCAAAGGGGCGGCACTATGCTATAGTTCTTTACAAAAGTTCTGTAGTAGCCTGTCATTCCTAAGAAAGATCTCATCTCAGTCACGGACTGAGGACGTGGCCAATCACGAATGCTGGCCACCTTCGCTTCATCGGGCTTCAACCCTTCCGCGGAGATCTCATGACCCAAGTAAAAGACACGGGTGCGCCCAAATTCGCATTTCTCACCGTTGATCTTGAATTGGTGCTGTCGCAGGAGACCGAGGACTTTGTCCAAGTGTGCAACATGTTCCTCGACAGTCTTACTAAAAATAACTATGTCATCGAGGTGCACGATGATAAACTTATCTAAGTAGTCATGGAATATCTGATTCATAGCGTGCTGAAAGGTGCCAGGAGCATTGCAAAGGCCAAAAGGCATCACCACAAACTCGTACAAACCGTACCTGGTCTGAAAAGCGGTTTTGTGTTGATCCTCGGGCCGGATTGCAATCTGACGGTACCCGGACTTCAGATCTATCTTGCTGAAGTACCGGCACCCTTGCACTCTATCTAGCAGATCGTCGATGCACGGTAGGGGCTCTCTGTTCTTTACAGTGATGACATTGAGGCCCCTATAGTCAATGCACATCCTAAGAGTACCCTCCTTCTTCTTAGGCACAAATAGAACTGGAGACCCATAAGGAGAGACACTCGGCTGGATCCAGCCCTTCTCTACGAGTTCCTTGAGTTGGCGGCGAAACTCATCAAGCTTGCCTGGAGACATCCTATAGATCCTACCCTTTGGGATACTAGATCCTGGGATAATCTCTATCGTGTGGACGACCTCCCTCTCAACAACCCCTGTTGGCTCTTCAAATAGATCAGGGTACTTAGCAACTACTCCCTCATCTCCGGCGGCATTTTCACCGGCTCGCCTGTAGCAGAAACATAAACTACGTACATACCCTCCTCCTGATTTTCCTTATAATAATTGTAGAACGCGTCCGCACACATGCACCCGTAAGACTCAATCAGACTACTAACTTTGAACTTATGTAATCTGGCGGTCCCTCCACCTGGCAAAGTGTGTTTGACCACTTTTCGGTCCCAATCAAACTGGGGTTGTGCCACAGAGAGGTAGTACATACCTAACAACATGTCCATGGGGAGTTCATCGCTCACTTGGAACGAGACACGATGTCTCAAGTCCCCTCCCGCGTACGGGAAACAACACTCTACATCCTGGAGGTAGTCATTCACTACCATGCCCTGTTTGTTGGCACAGGTGGACTCCACAGGTCGACTCAGACGCTGCACTCGCCCCTGTAAGCGCAGTCTCTCAACGCACGCGCGACTAATAAAGTTCCGCGTCGAGCAAGTATCATAATAGGCCCCGGCCTTGCGGCCGCCAATGACTACCTCGCTGACGAACATCTCACCCTTAGGGGCTTTGACTAGTGTCGTCCAAGAAGCTAGCGGGTCTGATCTAGACCACTCTACCTCTAGCTCCTCTAAGGACTCAAACACATTCATCGAACAGAGGCTCGATGGGTCTGAATGTGTTTGCAGGACGACGCTGGAGTCAGTAGCTTGGGCCATCTCTCGAGATAGTGAGGGTGTCTCTACCACCTCGACCCTAGCAGGAACAACTACAATTCCTACTGACCCGACGTGTTTCCCGGAGCACTGCGTGAAGAACTGACAATGTTGCTACCAACGGGTTGAGAGGATCCTAACACCTGCCCCATCGTAGGCGGAATCTTTTCTGTCACCTTCTTGTTGCGGCACTTGAATTGGCTATGGCCATATTGGCCACAACGGATACATGCCTGCCGAGAGTAACGATCTCTCCACACGTCCTCTGTGAGACCCGCTTTCTCCCATGGAGGAGCATTGGGGTCAACTTGACTCCTAGACCGGGAGCCTCCGCGGCGTCTACCGGTCGCCTTACCTTTTTGTGCTACGGCAGCGACCACTCCACCCTCTGAAGCGTCTAAGCTGCCTGCCTCTGAACCTACCCCCTCCTGGAGGTTGCCGTCCAACTCGATGGTTGAACCATCGTTGTCGACAAACATTAAGCGACCCTTCGCCTTCCAGTTGGGAGGCAATGTCTTCTTTCTCCCTTTCGTAGTGGGTGCCTGTCCATGCCCTATCTTTGCTTCAAGGTCAAGGGCCACCTTGCTAAACGAAGGAAAGTTGTGCATATTGATGTTGGCCTCTTTTGCCAACTGGTTCCTGAGAGGCTGAGAAAACCATCTCAGGTACGAAGTCAACAGGACCTGGGGATCATAACGCACCCCGGGGACACAGATCAGACGCTCAACAGTGTCGGTGGCTTCCCTTACTGACTTAAACTGCCGCGTGTGCAGTGTCAGGATCGCGTCAGTGGCCCTTTGGGCCTCCTGAGGATCATGCCGCCTCTCTTCCACCATCTTCAGGAAGTCCTCCAATTTCTGGGAGGCAGCCCAAGCGCGAAAGTCATGACCATATCCCTGAAGTTGCACTAGATCGCTCAACCATCTCGCTGCACTACCCTCGAGGTAGGAGGCAGCCACAAGCACTTCTTCGTGCGGCAAGGTGAGTTTGCACCTGACGTAGACCGGCACTGCCCTCAACCATGTGTCAAGGTCCTCGCCTCTCTTGTCCCCTGTAAAAGGTTTGGGAGCGGCGATGGCCGTCTTCGGAACCCACTGTGTCTGTCCCGGTCCCTGCATCATTCCAGGTTGTGGACCCGGTGAAACAGGTTGATGTGCTAGCTGCTGGGGTTGTGTGCCCAGAGGCTGCACTGGCTGTGAGACAACAGGCTGCGTGGTGACTGCAACCTGTGACGGACTTGGAGTAAACACTGTCTGTACAGGAACCTGTAAACTACTCCCTGTTGTTACCCCTCCTGACAGCGGCATGCCTAGGGAAACGATCGCAACCGTTGACGGGGCTACACATGGGGATACCCCAGTCACCGGTGGGACAAAGAAGGGAGGATATGGCACGGGCCAGGCACCAGGCCCAGCTGGTGATGGTGCTGCCTGAGAACGTTTTGCCAGTATGGCTAGGCTCTGCTGGATGTCGTGAAGGATGGTGGTCTGATGCTCTTGCATCTCTATTACCCCTAGCAGAGCTCTCCTGACTACCCTCACATCATCATCCATGTTCGTCAGGTCCATCGTCTCTAACTCCTCTATGTCTGTCTCTCTTCGCTGCATCCTGGCTCTTCTTCTGATCATTCTTTCCTTTTCCGCCTTTCTCTCTCCTAAAGCCCGCTGTAGCTGTGCCTCCTGCAGGGCCGCCTGCTGGATGGCGACATCCTTTGGAGTCAACACCGCGGATTGGCTTGCCATAATGCCAGGGGACTGACTCACGGTCTGCGCGACCGTTGACACAACAACACCTAAACTACTGGCTTGGGAAGTCTGTTGCGCAGAAGTGGACATGGTTGTAGTGGCCATGGCTGTTGTAGCACCGGCCTCACTAATTAAAGTCGGGCTGGCCTCGGCTGCTCTGGCCCTCCTCTGTGCCCGCTCTCTCTCCCTCTGTTGGCGGAACAGATGTCGATCACCCTCCCGGCCTAAAGACACGTGGGCTACCAGGCCCCTAGCTGATCGCAAGGTCATGCGGTCGTCCTCTCCGGTGTTCTCCTCGTCGCTCATAGGCTACAACGTTGTGCACTATCTACACTAGAACACTCAAGATGTCTACCACAACATAGTGCACAAACCAACTAATTAATTGGTGGCTACTTCGGAGTAGATATCACTTGAGGTCAACAGGTAAGTCAGATTCCTACAACTGAAACTATTCTTAGTATGACTAGTCCACGAACAGAAACATCAGGACCAATCAACAATGCTGTCTGTCAAATGTCAATGGCAGTCCATCTAACTAATCAAAACATAAAAATAGAATCACTTGTGTGTATAGGACAGCATGGAATTTTCTCGAACTTGTCACCTGGAATCAACCCCTCCCTTAGTTCCCCTGAGTATCACTTGACGTCAGCGTCCCTGAGCAATCTGGAGAGCAATGCGTGTCTAAAGGTGTGTGTCCGGCCCACCCCTGTGCCCCGAGTATCCACTGAGACGGCCAGCCTTGCACGTATATTTATCCTCGGCGTGCCGCGAGCCTTCCAACTATTGACTGATCCAGGGGCAATTTAACGTCCGCCCCCAAGTGACTCCAGGAATTATTTTACGTCGCAGTCGGATGACGATCACTGTCAATGGTTCCCCTTCCCGTGTTTCTTTGTAAACGCCGGGTGCTCGTCTTTCCTGTAGGGCTGGCCTGCCCAGTAGCACCCATCTAACAGCGCAGCAAGCCGAACAAAGGACAAGCAGCTTAGGCATGCGTGCTCTACTCCCTGTGGGTTGGCATGGTGACCGTGACCTAGTGCTTCGTCCAGGGCCCTTCAGAAAGCTTCGCCCATCTCCACCCAGATGCTCCACAAGAACATTGCCGACTCTCAAGGTTGAGCGCACTCGACACCTCACGATGAGAGGACTCTCAAGAAGGAACACACAACCTCACGGTAAGAAGTGTTGGAGAGGGAAGATAAGGTTAAGAGCAACGTACCTCATTTAGCTGCCCCCAACCACAGAGATAATCTCACCAGATGACCAAATGGCGATTGCGATGACCAGTCACTGCATCGGCACAACCAGCATTATTCACCGTTCCACCTCAGCATCAATCGCACATTAGGTAGTTCTTATCACACTGTCCAGACCGCATTCACTTCACGTAGCCTTCCTAGCGATTCCCCTCACCTCCTGGGTCGCCACACACTCCATCCTCCTCACTACACACCACTTACGACCAAACTCGCCCAGCAGACCTCATGTATGTACCGTATAAGGCAGAAGACAAACGCCAGATGAGCGCAATCGTACCACAGCTCCGATACCAAATTGTAAGGAAGATGAGTAATAGCGAACTCCAGCAATCAAACAACATCATACATATGAGTCCAGATAGTCTTGACCTCGAACCACAGCAGAATTGCATCACGAGATACACCAAATAAAAACACACCAAGAGTTCATAATTGACAATGCTGAAGTAGTCCCAACATCATCACCGAAGAACCAGAGTTGATATCCTATTGGCACTCGACGCCCAGACTACATGTGGCAGATCCTATCTAGCCTATACTACGAAGCAGAAAGATGACATCAACAGCGTTCCCGAAGTACGAGCATATTGCGATCAATGTCGCACGCTTCAGCACCAGGTATGTCTTGCGCTACACTCACAACCCCG